TTTCAACATTCATATGACAGTTGAATTGTCGCAACAAATATATATTGTAAGGCACTACGCACTGACTGATGATTTCTTGTTCAACTTGACGCCCATATTGTCTCATTTTGATCTTGCGGGTGTGAGCTCCATTTTCTGGCTTTCTCTTTCTATATTTTGGATCGGAGTCATTCTCTTGTTCAAATTTAATTTAAATCAAAGGGGAAAACAATTCAGTGATTTGGAAATTCTTGATAATTGTCGAATTTTAATGAAACTTTCAACACTTATTCAGAAAGGAATTAAATTGTTTCGTTTCTTTTTTAGAAAATCTTCGTAAAAATATGTAATTTTTTTTTTCATCTGTTAACCCCCCCCCCCACTCATGTATTTTTTATGAAATTTCGCTAAATTCTTTATTTATTGCTTATTACTTACATTTGTTATAAGGATAACTCTGATAATTTAAATCATCAAAAGTTTGGGGGTAAACAGGATTCCCAGAAAATTTGCTTTCAATGGTAAAATAAAAAATCAATGAGATTTTTTTTAAATTAGAAAAGCTTTTAATTGCTTTTATAAATAAAATATATTTTAAGCATTTAATTGTTTTTATGAATATATTATATACACTATTGTCTTAAGAATTTTCGAATTTTTCGATGGGTAATGACAAGATTTTTTTAATTCAAAAAATTTTTTAAATGCATTTTAAGCTTAAGTATTGATTATTTGTTTTATTTAGCAGCTATACACAAACAGAAAGATAATTTGATGGCTATGAAGTTGTTTATAAGTTTTACTTTTCTTCCCTTTTTTTCTTGTCTACAACTTTATAATTATAGCTCAGCCTAAGGTAAGGGCTGTGAACACCAACTGAGAAAGGAATATATTATTCTAATGTTTTATTTCAAACTCAGTCAAATTGTGTATGTCTGTGTGTTTGAATGACGCAAGCATATGTAAGAGACACACGCACAACACAGACATATACATTATTACATACGCGCATACAAAGTTACAGGCAGTGTGTGACGGACAGAAAATAAGCTCTTCTTTTATAATATGCATTTATTGTATTTGTACACGTACATACATTATGGTGCCTCTTCTTTGTTTTTCTTTTTTTTTTTTTCTCAAGAAAGGAAATAACTTCTATCAAAAAAATTATAGGGTTTACGTTGAAGACACGCAAAAGCGTCAGTTCCGGTCAGAGCATCGAACAATAAGCTTGATCTAGTGCTTAGGTGATTCGTATTAAGGAACAGCAGGTACTGCATACAATAGTTTGTATACGCCAGACTAAATAAAGAGTAGTAAATATTATCTATAGAGATGCAAACTAATTCCTATATTAATTTCAAGTAATTTTTTCATCATCAACACATTTTCTCGGGCATTTTCAAAAATATCAAATTAATTTTTGGAATGAAAAGAAAAAAATCATTGTAGCAATGTATTCATTTACCGGTTTACTTATATTTTTTAATACTTATCATACAAAATTTCTTTTACCACTTTTTCTGCCAGTCACAGAGTTTGGAGCAAGTGAGTATAGATATACTAAAACGCAACATTATCATTTTGACGCTAACCTAAAGTAGGGGTCGGCAAACCAAGGCCCGGGTCATATCCAGCCCGCGAATAATTTTTGTCCAGCCCGTCAAATTAACCGTAGTAATGAAATTGTATTTTTTGTTGATTGTATTTTTTATCCTGTTATTCCTGCAGGAAAATAAGAGACCTTGTTTAATATAATATTTACTTCGTTGTTTTATCTTAAACCTCCTGAGCGGTCTGAAATCGAGACAATTTATCATAGTACGTTTGATGGCCTTCCTCCGGGACGCTGTATAGCTATCTGGCGCGCTCTACCACTGACCTAAAGTGTGTGTGTGTGTGTGTGCGCGCGCTCGCACGTGTGTTTTGCCGAAATGAATAGCTAACATGGAAATAAATCTTGAAAGACAAATTGTAGGACAAAATAGTTGTAGTGTGGTTATTTAATTTTAGCTTTTGATATTTAAATTTAAAATCAAACCAAATGCAAACGAGAACAAAGGTGTTCAAAATGAATATAACTGTTCTTTTAAATACTAACAATAATAAAACTGTTCGGTGATTTAAAAACACGTCATTATATTGATTTAGATACAAGTGACCGCATTCACTTATCAGAGCGTGAAATAAACGCTCCTCTTTTCTCCTGCTTCAACACTTCCAACTGTTTGAATGTTGCATCGTTGTGTAGTCAACATTCAACAAGGTAAACTTGTAGATTATTAGTAGTGAGTTTGATCCTTGTTAAGTAATATTGTATATAAATCGATCTCGTAATAGTTGTACAAAGAAATTTTAAATAATTTATAAATAATATTTAATATAAAATGATAATTTCCATGTTAGACACGGCCCTTGCAGGAAGAAGATGGAACATTTCTTCCAAAACCGAATTTATGAGACCCAATACTAGGCATTTATTTGGAATCGTTTGTTAGTAAGGAGATTTTCGATTAGGTCGTCACTTTTCAGTGACATAAAAAGATGTGACATTTTTCCGTGTACAGAAAGAGAGACAAACTTCTATAAAAGAAGGTTGGAAAGAAAAAATGACTGTGGCTGGACAAGGCATTGGGCAAGTTCATTCTGAAGGTTGAATTTACAACGGAATTTCAATTTCAAAGTTTATTATTGTAAATTATAAGCAACACCGTTAAATAGGGAGGTTAAATGAATTACATTTCTAGGTAGAATGGACTTTGTTTCCAATATTTTAGTGGAGAATTTAAAAATCTATCTATAATAAGGTAGATTTACAAACTACTTGAAAAAGGATAAAAAATCTGACAAGGAGGATCTGCCATCACCTCTCTTGATATTTATCATTCGTCGCATCACAAATCATTGGAGCACTGAGAAAACTTGCACTTCGTAAACATTCCTGACAACCTACTTCAAGATAGATGAAAGACTATCATATTGGCCTTTGTATATTTAGAAACATTAAATACTCATTACATCTATAGTAACTTTTGCATATAGTCATTGAATACCATAAGCAGAGGCAAAAAGTTTTTTCAAATAGGAATCTTGAATAAGTCTCTTAGGTCATTACAAAGAAATTATTCTTTCATGGGTCATCTCCTTTCAGGATATGGGCGATTATGGCTCTCCACAACTTTCTGTTTTCTGTTGTTGTAAGTAATTTCTGTCCCTTTGTTCTTCTTTTGTTATTCATTCACTCATACTCGTTTAGTAGGTTACTAGTTTTTTTTTTACCCCTATTCTTCTTACATTCAGTACGCCCTTTGAATTTTAAATTCTCCATGGCCTCTTAGCTTAATATGTGTCCTAAATACCCCCTTGCCTATCTTATTTTGATTGTAGTTCCTATTTTTTCTTAAAACTTCCTCGTTACTGACATGTTCAGTCCATGGCATTCGTCGGTAGAACAACATCTCCGTCGTTTCAAGTCTCTTCATTAGGTGCGAGGAGCTTATCCAACATTCACTAGATATAAATTAGATATTACAGAGAAATTCAACACTTTTTTTGCTTCTAACCATTTTTTCTTATCTCTTAATATTTTACTTAGTTTCTGAAATACATTTTTTCTCTATTCTTGTGCGCCTTAAGTTTTCTGTCACACTTTCCGTAGTCGGTTACTACACAATTAATAATAAATAATAATTACATTTCTCTACCTGCTTAATTAATAATTATGATATAATAATTAATTAATAATAATTACATTTCTATACCTGCTTGATTTTAAAGTCCCCAATACGTAAATAACACTTTTTATCGACTCTTTTGTTTATAACTATGCAGTCTGTCTTTATAGTTAATGGTTAGTCCTTTCTTTTTGTTTTCCTTTATGACTTTGTATCATACCTCTGTCAGTTTTTTTTTCTGAGTCTGCCATCAACACAGTAACATCTGTGTATCTTGTGTTGTTAAGATTGTGTCTGTCTATAATAAATCCTGGTGGGTCTTCTAATTCTCATAGAATCTTTCGGTTGTAAAGATGAAATAAATCCAGTGAGAAAACACATCCTTGTCTTACTTCCCTTTTTAATTTTGCATATTAATGAAACTCGTTCTCAATTTCCTTTCAAGCTGCATGTTCCGAGAAGAGGTTACGGATTACTGGACAGATAAAAATAATCATAAAAGTCGTATTTTTAGTTCCAATGTCTTGAACAAAGCCAGACTTTAGAATTAAAAAAAAAATATATTCTGATATATATACATTTGTTTCAGTTGAATATCAATATTTTCCTTAGCAGGAAAGGTGTCTACTTAAATGGTAATATAAAAGTTGAGTATATTAAATAAATAAATGGTTTATTAATAAAATCTGAAATCTTGATAACAGCTGAGTAATTTTGACAGTAGGTATAAAGTATACATCTATTTAATGGCATTGATTCGATTTTCAATGACGATAAAAAGTTAATCATTGTCAAACATTTGTTTTTGCCTTGTAGACAAAAAGCATGAAAACAGTTGGGTTTTTTTTTAGATTCCAAAGTATACGTTGACAAACACGGATTTGATTTATATTGGCAATGATAATGCCAAGGTAATTTAACTAAATGCTATTGCTTTTGTTTTTAATCTTTTTTGACATCTACATTTCCAGTAAACATTCTGCCATTCAATACTGACAATTTAAATGTCAGTCTCTTGTTACTTGGCATTATTCACTATAAGCAGTTACATCCCTTCGTTCCATCGACACATCCAGAAACATTTATTATATGAAAATCAACAAGTACAAAATTATTACACTTAGTTCAATTTCCATTACTCCTAGAAAATAATAAAACATTATTTACCCTAATTTTTTACGAGCTCGAACGCCATAAAAGTGTTGAAACTCGTTTTATTTTACCTTTATTAAATATCAATTAGAGTTATGTAGTTCAGTGATTGTATTCAATATTTGTTTGATATCTGCTTAAATTTCAAAATCTGAAAGTAAACCAGTCTAAACTGTGAGAAAATGTTGTACTTACCCTTGATTTACAAGGTAACTTCATCAATTTGCCTTGTAATTCAGGAAAGTTGACTATTTCTTCCATTTTTTTTTTTCAGTAGAACGATTTATCGCCTAACCGTTGAACATTCGAACTGCAACGGCCGTACAGGCGAAAGAATCCCAAAAGAAAAAAAAAGATGAAATTTCCTTTCGGTGGACACAATGTGATTTGAAGTCGACTTTATAGTCTTTTGTCTTTTAAATATATATATATATTATTAAAAATAAATCAGATGTTAAAACCGGGAACTCCGTTTAACTTGATCTAATGCCCGTTGATCAGTCCAATCCCGAAAAAAGAAACGTGTTTAGAATTCTCTACCGGACTTGAAAGAAACAACTTTAAAATGATATAATGGCGTCTCAATGTATGTGTATGTTGTCGTCTGAATGCTTGACAGCGCTACTTGTGGACACAGGAAAGATCCTTAGTCTTGTGTTAGTTGAGTTTGTCAGTGTTATTATAGATATTGTGACTTAACTGGGCCGAGCATACGCTTTTCTTTTTGTTATTGACTCCAACCAATTTATCTTCTCTCTCTCTTTTCCCACCGCTCTTCTTATTATTGTTATTCTAACTTTATTAATTTTTATTTTGTCAGAGTTCATGTACAGGTTCAATGCGCACCTATCGACACACCAGTTTCTCTTTTAGTGTGTGTGTGTGTGAGGGAGAGAAAGAGAGAGAGAGAGAGAGAGAGAGAGAGAGAGAGATGCAATCGAAGCAACAGTCAGTTAATATTAGAGTAGATAAACTATTAGTTACGATGGTAACAACAGGCAAGGAGGCTTTGGCTTTCTCTTCGCTATTAGCGAAATAAACTTTTCCTGTCTGTTATTATTATGAATTTTGTTCCAGCTTCTTATATCTTTCTTTCTTCATCTATGAATTTATTATAATTACCATTTTTAAAAGTTGTTTTGTCGTTGCAGGTGATAGTCAGATGAAGAAGGATGATGATGATGATGATGATGATGATATATGGCAGCCAGGTTGGTTGGACAAGTGGTTGATACAGATAATCGATATCGCATGCAGCTACGGATGTGTATTGGCTGAAGATTTTATCCGTCACTCTCACGTCAAATGCGAATAACTAATTGTTTGATGGGGTCAGTCAGAATGATAACGTCATCTACGTTGGATTTGACACCAGCAGTAATAATGGGCGCCTTGTTGTGCTCTAGTGGTCAGTATGTTGAACTTGAAAATAATTAGTAGTGAGTTTGATCTTCTCTGGCTGCCCCTTACGTGTAGTCTTGTGCCAAATTTAAGCTACGCTTGATAAATAACAGATAATAATAAATAACTGACCATTACGACTGAATAGCAAGTTCGATTGGTGGGCGCCCGATATGTGTAGCCTTTTGTTAAATTAAGCTAAGCTTATTAAATAACAACAATAAGCGGCACATTAGTTAAAAAATTGAGAAGAAAACAGAAGTATAAGAGGGTAACTGTTATTTAATTTTCTTTGTTTGAATCCATAACTTAATTAATAGTAAAAGTATGTTTTCTTTTTAGATTTAATCCTTCTTCCAGTTTTGGTTTTAACCGTTTTATTTTGTTCATTAGTTCCTTTTGAATTCAAGAGAGTGTTATTTCTTTCCGGTTGGCATTCAACGGAACTTCTATCGATTTGGAATTAATGTAGCTTTTAACCTGTCAATACGGTATTATTCACATCGTCGGAAATTTTTATCGTAAAATAGGTTTAACTGCAATGTAATACCTTAAATGGACACGTGTACGAAGCTTCCAGAGGTTTTTGTACCCTGTCGGTCCGTAATCTCGCATATTTACTAGTTTTTAAGTCTTTGGGGACATAGGAATTTGGTAAAGAATGCATATTAGCTTTATATAGTTTGTCAAACTCAAATTTTTGCATCTCTTCAAACAAATTCTTTAAATGTGTATTTGTTATTTGAGTTTTCTCCTTGTCTTTATTTGTATCTATTAATATTCGCGGGACTTGTGCTTTAACTCCTGTTACAGTAGTAAATGGCGAGTAATTCGATTTATTGGGAGTTATCCCGAGTAGGACAATAGGTTAAGCCGATAACCACAATTACTTCCTGGCAATAATTGCAGTTTTTATAGCCCGATGTGCACATTCAATTAATCCATTTGAAGTCGTTCTCAGTCTGTGGAAGCCTATTATCTTTGAGAGTTCTAAAAACAATTCCGATTCGAACTGACTACCCTTGTCTGTAACAACATGGATGGGGACTCCGAATCTGGATATCCACGGGTTGATGAAAGCTCCTGAAATTGATTGTGCTGAAATTTCCATCAAAGGACACGCTTCTATCCATCGAGTACTTCTATCGATAACAAATATCGATAAGATGAGAAATAGGGGTCAGGTTTTTAACTTGTCTTAAGGGACCCACTATATCCATGTGCACTGTTTGGAAACGAATTGAAGGAAATTCAAATGGCTGAACTTCACTCTTTGTATGCTTAGTTATTTTTGCTTCCTGACAATGCTGACATTCTTCATACCATGATTTTTATTGATTTTCTCATTCTGGGCCAGTAGTACCTCAATTTGATCATTTTTATCGAAGCTGATATTTCGGGTGTGATAGAGTATGTAGACTGTCAAATATTGATTACCTGCGCACTTGCGTCACAAAAGGTCGTAGGAAGGGTGGTGACACGTCGGACAGAATATATTTTGATGCTCATTTACAGGATATGACTTCAGCTGATCTTGAAAGTGCATAATTTCTTCATCAATAGTTTGGTGTTTTATCATTTCTTGCAAATCGCATACATTGATAGTAACTGCATTAGCTGGTCGAGATAAACAGTCAGCCACTATATTCTGATAACCAATTATATGTGAAATATCAGTAACATATTCACTTATGAAACAGAGGTGACGTTGTCTGTCAGATTTCAGTGGAGTTTGGTTTTACATTACAAAGAGGTCTATGATCGGTTAATAGTAATACATTCCTGCCTTCTATTTGGTGTTTAAAATGCAAGACTCCCAGGTAAGCAGCTAGTCGTTGGTAGAATATTTTTGTTGCGTCAACGACAATTTCTTCGAAAAGAAACCAGTAGGAATCGGTTGGTCGTCTACCATTTGGCGAAATGCTGCACCGACAGCATAATTCGAACTGTTTGTAACAAGCTGAAAGTTATTAGCTTTTGAGTAGGGGTGGGGGAGAACAGTTTTACTTGACAAAATCTCCTTTATATTTTTGAAAGACTCAATCTCCTCTTCTTTTAGTGTTAAGTTTTTCGATTTTGGGTTCACACGCATACATTCTATGAGTCGGAATACCTTATCGCTAAAACGTGGAACTAGTTTCTAAGAGAAATTATTGTACCTAATTATTAGGTTACAATATAAGATTTATGAAAATTGTGATGTAGTTGAGTGGGCGGCACGCCGTTTCGAAGATTCGAGGGCGGCCCTGCTGACTCACATTATTTGAACGTAAAACACATTTTTTTAAACATTTTACCCCAAGCAAGGCGGCATTGCCACAAGTACGCGAGGGGCTAGGGAGAGTGAAGTGAGAGAAAAGACTGGGTATAGTGGGGTGAGGAAAGGTTAAAAGATGAATGGAATTCAAGACAGAAGAAGATAGCGATTGATGTTGCATTTCAATTTTTGAAGATTGTGTGTATCAAGGAAGCAAATAAGCGGAGGGAGTTCTACTGTCGAGAAGAGCGAGAAAAGAAATTGTTACATTAAACTATTTCAACAGTAAAATGGCGGGACCTAAATGCCAATCTAGTAGCATGCTTAAACTCATGTAGTCAGGGCACCAGGGAAAAAAGCTCATCAGAGCAGTTGCCGTGAAAATATTTGTAGAAAAGACAGAGGGAAGCCACATCACGTCTGTGAGAAAGTGACTGAAGTCGAGATGCTAAGTCAGAATCGATTACATTGCAGATCCTTTGGATTTTTTCAAGAACAGCAGGAATACCAGACCAGATATGGCAACAGTATTCAATGCACGGACGAATGGTAGATTTGTAAATGTGCCAGATGGACTCTGACGAGAAAAACCTTCTGGTGTGTAGTAGATGCAGCTATAAATTATTAGAAATTTAAAAAATACAGAGTATTTTTTAGTTCGTTCATCCTTCGCATTTGATATAATTCTGGACCATCAAAATGGATGCGTTTTTTCCAAAATGAAAGTAAAAATTGCTAAGCCCTGTTTTTAAAAATTTGCAGAAAATTATCCAAAGTTTTCAGTAATTATTCATCAATGAATTAATTATATACTGAATAGGTTATTTTATTAGAAAGCTTTGTAGAAATACTTTTTGGCGGTTGGTTTCAGTATCCTGTGTGTACTTTTTAATTTGGGTGCGTTCACGGATATATTTTACAATTATATAAAGAATTCTGAATTACCGCCTTTGATTGAATATTCCTATTCTAACGTAATAAACCCTGCCCGTTGCAGCTCTGTCCTGTCTCTCCGGTGGTTCTGGCCGAAAAGTAAACCACCCGGTCCTCCCCCGGTGAACTGAAGGAACCACCACTATCCGCCACGTTGTGAATTTTTGATCCGAACAGCAGTATTTCGATCCCTCAGAACGATCCGGAGGTAGGATGAATTAAATGGCTGGGTATTACGCTGAAAGGAACTCACTATTCATGCAAAAAAAAAGTTTCTTGTCGTGGCCGCAAAGCAACGAAAAAGAAAAAAATAAGCAACTCTTTCGGTTCCTGTACAAAGAGCCCTTTTTAGGCCACTGTTTTTATGTCACTACCGAAGAATTTACACGAGTACAAAATGTCGTAACGAGGTTCATTCGTTTGGGGTCGGAAGAGACAGAGAGAGAGTAGGAAAATTTCTGCCTAAACAATTTCGGCTGATCTAAGGGAAATAATTCGTGGATCTTCGTCTGCACCCTACGATATAGCAGTCTGCTTTCTCACAGCTTTGTTGACGAAGTTATCTGGATTCGTACGGGTTCTATTTCTATTTCTTGGTTCGGATCGGTCTTCTTGACGCAGGACAACCAACAGACCAGACCAGCAAATTCCAACAAGCCGTCTCTTCCGC